CTTCCTAAAATGGGAGCTAAATTCCATAAAAAGGTGTGGATAATAGTTAATGGTGGTATTTTAAAACAAAAGCGAATTTGATTTAATTATTTAATTTAAACAAGCTTATTTACATCGAATATAACCCCCGATTTTATTGAAAATAAATATTTCTATGTATATACCAAACTTGCGTACGTCAGATGGCGCATAACTCGAGAATGGATGGAGGATGGTCCACTTTCAGCTTTTTTTTTGTTGTATTTGTTTGCCAGATGATGGATATGAAGAAGCTATTTGTTTGTGGAAAATATGCAGTATTTATTAAACAAAAAAAAACGGCAAATATAAAAATTTGGAGCTTACGTTTCCTTCGCGGATATGGCTCGATTGTTTCAAATATGGTAATTCGAATTCTTTGATGTCGCACTTTTAATATTCTGGGGAGACTATACAACTGTCAGAATATTAACCATTCGCCGGGTTGCCCGAAAAAAAATTTAATGATTAAAAATATCAAAATATAAAAAAATATAAAAATATTCGCCATAAAAAGGCGTTTGCATTGTTCAACTTTGCATTCTACTTTCAACTAATCGCTTTCAACAAAGTTGGTCGCCAGCCAACATTCGCCTCGTGCGTAAACCTTTTAAGTGTGCAATTACATACATCGTGCCATTGACTAAACCGAACTGTCGTGTGACGATTGGGCCTATGGATGCGGTTTGGCAATGTTATATTGCGTCAAAGCCTCATTCGGAGACACCAGGATACCTTCGTTGGCTCATTTACCAAAACCATTGCATGCTTTACTTTACAGCGACTTGGCCGAATCAAGAGGTCTCCACGAATATCGACAAATATATTTCGGCATTTAAGGGAATTTCGTTTTTTTAGCCTACATTGAATTTCTGTAGTCCAACGATGCTCAACCATTTTGTCTTGTTGGCGCCAGCGAATGAAGAACCAACATTTCTTCAAATTTAAAAAGTAAAAATTTCACTACTAACAATTTAAAAATGTTCTTAAAACTTGCAAAGATATTTGGAAAAGAAATATCACTGTTTTTGTTTTTAGGAGTAGGGTGGGAGTGTCATTGATAAAATTAGAGCGAGAGAAAGTTTTTCTTACAAAACCTTTCATTATTGAATCATGGGTATCTTTGGCAGTCGCTCTGCTAGAAATATCACAGTATAGAAATATCGGTTTAAAATCGCGTCAAAGTACCCAGCACAAAAAATGTCTAAAAATCGGATATCATTTCCGGACAGATGAACATGTCAATTTGAGAATGGAACAAATGCAGGGTGAACGTGTGATATGAAAGTGTAGGCCGGAATTTTACTCATACGCACTTTTAAGCGAATTTTAACAAATTTCTAGTACTTTGTTCTGACAATTTCCGTCGGTGGTGAAGATAAGAAAGCAGAGAGCAGGTATGTAGCTAAGTAGTGATCATCCGAAAACTGCGCAGTGACCTCTCCCCCAATACGAAATTTGAAAAGGGCAGATTGGCTGTGTTTTAAGAACGAGCTCCAGCGCTCGACTGCCGCGTCATACAGGATACGTTCCGCTCTGATGGGGTGGTGGTTAATTTAACGGTTGTCCTGTGTGCCAGTTTTAATAAGGCTTGTGCGCCTCATTCTACCCTTAGAGGAACAAGGAGCGTCGTACGCGGGGTGATTTGAGAAAACTCCTAAACCGGGCCTTCAGAACTAACAGTGAGTTGGACTGGGAACGCTTTCGCTGTACGCAAAAAGAGTACAAGAAACTAATTCGCACTGCGAAAAGCGCTTCCTTCAAAGAGTACTGCAGTGGTATTGATAACGTGTGTCAAACGGCTAGGTTGGTAAAATTTATTAAAAGGGACTTAACTACAAAGCTGGGTTCGTTTAAGAGGCCTGATGGTTCCATTAGATACGTAGACACGAGTTGAGGATCTTTCTGTTCTGCTTGGGTACCACTTACCTGGAAAATTTCCCCTCGCCTAGTGTATTAAAATGGAAAAACTTGGCAGCACTGCATAGTTTTCGACGTTTATCGTCGCTTACTTATTTCACCACGACAGTAAACAAAGCTAATGTTGTCGAGGCGCACAATTTAGCCTAATTTACGACGAACGCAATGAGGCTGATTGATTTCCTTTTAAGTCGCTGTAACGATAATAATGATATAGCAACCTCGAACCGAAACAGGTGCAAGAGTCGAGTTACCACTGTAATTCAAAAATGGATTTCCGGAATAACTTTTTCAGTTTCCTTTTACCGTACATTTCTTTACTAATGGTTTCTTCTAGCATACATTTAGGCGCAAGCTAAGCCGAAAACAGCTGCTGTATTTCGCTATTTCATCATTCAGCATCATTAGCTTGTAACGTGCAGACAAACAACGGAAACCGAATTACGAAAATACGCTCGATTAGTGTACAAAAGTATTTTTAAACAATTGAGTACAAAACTATAAGCAAATAATTGTGAAATCCAGAGAAATTTACTGCGCGCCAGCAAAGTAAAAAGCATAAAAATGCTAGCACGCCGCTCAATCGTTGGCGTACAAGCGTTGAAACAACAGTAAGTTTCTGTTTTACAAAAAGCTTACATAATTAGAGTGTGAGCAGTGGAGAAACTTGAGAATAATAAAATTCATTAATTTAGTTGTCGCAAAATGTCGCAAGTCGGTGAATTGGGTAGTGGCGCTGGCAAGGGAGGCGGCGGTGGCGGCTCCATACGTGAGGCAGGCGGCTCGTTTGGCAAAATGGAGGCAGCGCGCGAGGAGGAATTCTTCTACAAGCAGGTACATACTTAGATATTACTTGAAATAAAAATACCTTTTTGGCACTTTCGCTTTTATAATCATTAGCAAAAGGAGCAGTTGAAGAATTTGAAAACAAAAAGCGGCGATGCAACAAAGAATGCAAATTTAGCAGCGCAACCGGCGAAACAGTGAAATGATGGCAGAGAAGAAAAAAAAAATACGTTTGTATTGTTGCCAATCGGTGCATTGCCCTCAAGTTGAAATCAAAATATTTTACGCTACGTAAATGTGAAGTTTAAAAATTTGTTTTGACAACCTAGTTGTACAAAAATGTTAAGTTTTGAAAGTGAAAAGACTCTTATTCAATAAAGGAATATGAAAAGTTACTAATTTGAAACAAAGTTTTACTCGAAATAAAAAATTTACCCAGATGACATTGGAACATTTTCTACATATTAGACGAAAAAAATTCTGCTACTGTTGACTGGGTATTTCGAAAGAATCACTCGCGCAATACGTCGCATCCGAAAACTGATATGCATGTCCAGGGCCATCGAGAGAAAACTCGGACACAGACTGCAGAATCACTGGCCCTATACAAAAATAATTTATGATTAATTGTTTATTCTAATAATTGGAATATTTTGATAATAAAAGCCTATAACGAAGGAGCAATTGCATTGTAAATAAGTTAAATGTAAAAACAAATATTTTTAAAGCAAGCTTTCTTAACCACGACTCCTGCACCACCTATCGGATTAACTCATCTTTCGTATTGCATTGTCATCGAGTGCTAAGCCAACTGTGAAGTTTCAGGTCTCTAGGTCATCGGGAAGTTGGTCAAAAATTGATTGCAAGATCAATAAGTTATGGTTCTGATATTTCAGGCACTTAAATTAGTCCGGGCCCGGGGAGGATTCACCCCTTAACCCCTCCCTCACGAAGGCCCTGGACACGTCAATGGACTGATAAGAATTGTGTACAAGGCATTTGTTATCAGATGAAATTATGGATGCCCAATTTCATGTAGATATTCGATCAACTAATATCGATAATTCTAAGGGTACGTATATCGGTACAGGTGCGACACAGAGAAATCTGTTAATCTAACCTTTGCTCTATTGAAAACAAAGTTGCCAAGAATTTACGGAGGCAAACGGCGCAACGGCTATTTTACAAAATTTATTCCATAATATTCATTCTCTGATATTTAAATTCCTGCATCGATCAGAAAATTCTCGATGCAAAAATCGATATTCTGTACTCATCGATGTTAATTCGACACACCCTAATTTTGGAAGGTAAACAAAAAAAAATCGCAGATAGCAAGTGGGCTGGAACGTTTGATAATTTGATTTGAAGTAACTAAAAATATGCATAGTATTTGTTGATGAGCCTTGTAAACAATAAATTATAGGCCCCGAGCAAATCGGCAATGCAAACTAATCACATGATAAACATTTAGACGACAAACACTGGCTTTCACATAAACAACAAAACTGCTACAGATTGCCCTAGTGTCATTGATAACCCCTGGCACCCAAGTGGATGCTTGATTTTAATTCCATGCTCAAGCAGCAGATAACTAAAGCGGCACTAGTTGGAGTAGGTAATTGTTGATAAGGCGTGACAAAGAGGGCAATTCATGCAAAAAATTGAAAGTTTTGGTGCAGTAAAAGCACAGTATACAGTACCGGTTCGATCACAGCAAGGTGCGGAGCGTGCTTAATATAGGCTGTTTATTATTTAACAATCATAATCTAAGAAAAATGGCCACAACCGTTCGGAACCCATTGAAGAAAGTTTTGCGGCAACGCATGAAGATCGAGGTCATACCATCTATAAGCGCCGAGTCAATAGCTCGACAATCGAGGGCCATTTACGAAAAGGTCAGTTGAGATTGGTTAAATTTCTTGCAATATTTTCATTCTCAATTTCTTGCAGGTGATCGCCTCTGAGGCCTTTCGTCAAGCGAAAGATGTTAGCATATATCTAAGCACTGCCAGTGAAGTAGATACGCTACCTTTGCTACGTGAGCTCTTCAATCAGCAGAAAAATGTTTTTGTGCCCACGTACAGCGGCAAGCTTATGGAAATGGTGCGCGTCAAAGATTGGGCGGACTACGAGGCGCTGCCGCTAACCAAATGGAATATAAAGCAACCTAGTGCAAAGGAGGGACGTGAGAATTCGCTAACAAATGGTAAGAAGGGCGGATTGAGTTTCTTTACGTCTATCCTTTGCACTAATATAAATCTTCTACCTTTACAGGTCGCGGCATTGATCTGTTCTTGATGCCCGGTGTTGCCTTTACGCTAAGTGGCGGTCGTATGGGTCACGGCATGGGCTACTATGACAGCTTTTTGCACCGGCATTTTAATACTTACCCTGAGAAGAAACCAGTATTAATGGCTTTGGCATTCCGTGAACAAATCGTAGACGAAAGCACTTTGCCGCTAGATCCACATGATGTGCGACTTACAACTGTAATTACGGAATAATGAGCGCACTGAATTTAGTTGTACATTTTTGTAAATAGTATATATGTACACAGAGATTCACGTTTACTTATATGTGTTTAAATGTACTTTTATATTTTTAATAAAAAAGTTAAGTTAACTTAAATTATGTTCATTTTGTTTAGTTTTGCTTAAATCCTAGCGTAGATAGGGTCGCGGGCGGCCGCCACGACCACGTGAGCGTCCACCGAAGTGCGAATTGCCCGAGTAATGCGTTTCGCCAAAGTGTGGTTCGGTGGTGGCGCTGCGATAATGCGGCGACCCACCGTCTGCCCAAGTTGAGGGCGAAGACGTGCGCATAACTTTGGATTTGCTAAAAAGAGAAAGAAATGCATTAAACACTTATTTTTTACTGATAGCACACAAAAACATACCGAAATGCCGCTGCCGTCGAAATACGTGTACCACGATTGCGCCCTACGCGTGAACCACGCATAATAGGAGGTATTTTATTGTAGCCCGTTGGGCCAGTAGGTTGCGCGCCGCAAGTCTCTAATGCAAGAAAATCATCCACATGCAATGATGGCGGACGCGATGTATTCGGTGGACGTGAGCGGAAGAGATCACCGCGTGACGGGGGCGCGCGCGCAAAACCACGACCGCGCACGGGCGTGATATAGATTTTCTTTTCTGGTCGTCCAGTGCTCGGCTCCACCTCAACACGACGCGTGCGGAAGCATGGCGCTGTGGGCGTGCGCTCGCGATTCGATTGCGGTGAAGCAGACAAATGTAGAACGCGCTTGCAATCTGATGTGAGATTCGTCTCGGGGGACAAGCATTCTGCAGCCAACTCGGTTAAATCGCAAGCGACGCGTTCGTACTTGCACTCATCGTAGTCTACACAGGCAGCTTGCAACCAGTAGCGCGCCTGCAGCTGCGTCTCATCCGCTGAATCGTCAAATTCAACGAAAATGGGGCGTGCAACAAATTGCATGACAATGCCCTCACTTTGCGGAAGTGTTGGTTCCGCAACATTCGCAGCTTCTTCATCATTTTCGGCTGACGCAGCGCTATCAATGGATTCCAACAGTGTGGTAACATCAGGCAACAATTTATTAGCGGAAGTGCTGTCATCCTCTACCTTAATTTGTGTGGGCGCTTTTTCCTTACATTTTGTGTGCGCGGCACTCAAGCGTCGAATTAGATGGGGCTTCGCGTTCTTTTGAAAACCTAGCAAGTTAGATAGCTGCGAGGCACTCCATTTAATGGTGCGTATGGGTATTGCTTGCTGTTGCTGCAAGTATTCAGCAATATGCGTCAGCGAGTGTAGAAAAGCTATAAGAAACTCAATGGAGGGTAAGCGCGCCCGCTCTGATTCAGCGTAATTAAGGAACTTTTCGAGCCATTGTTGGAATTCAGCGCGTCTCTGTTTGAGCTGCTGCGTCAAATGAAATAGCGTTATGCTGGAGAGATAATACAATGAAAAGGGTAAATAAATAATAAAGATTCTCAAATACATATACATACTCAAGTTCTGTTAAAAGATTCAAGTTATTCAACGCCAACTCGCACATCTCCTGCTGTGCATCACTATTGAACAGGTTTGTTAGTATAGCTTCAACAATGCGCGGCAACAACTCCTTCGCCGGCAATGCAGCGGCCAAATTCAATTCTGGCGTTGCTGTTGATTTTGGTGAAACGAACGATATTCCCGCGTCTATAAAATTCTTTAAAATATGCTGAATGGCCAATTGGCACTTTTGCACAACCTCTGACGCAGGCCCAGCATAACAGAGCACCAGTTGGAAAAGTTCCCACAACTTCCCGCTGAGTATGGACATCGCGGAAATCTTCAAAGCGGCGAAAGGCGTTAGACGCGCGAAGAAGTTCAACAAGCGCGCTAATTGTGCACTGGGCGTGGCAGAAGCTGACTGCCATTCGGCGCACAATAAATCGCTAAGAGTTTTTGAAATAAGTAACGTCATGTTGGGAGCCAAGTCAGCAAGTTGTAGGCACACTTTTGTCATTAGATCCACCAGAGGCGGAAAAGTGGAAGGTGCAATGGTTTCAATAAGTTTGGCGATTTGTGCGCTCTGCGGATGCAAATGTGCTGACCAAAGCTTCCGCTCGGTAATCAAGCGCTGAGTTTGAGTTTCGGGTAGCTGCGCATCGGCGGGCAATGGTATGGGTAATGGTAGCGGCAGCAATTCGGCGAGCACATGCAAGCCTGCAAGAGATAAAGTGAATGAGTTAAATGTATCAACTTGTGAGCAAATTGTGGATATTTACCTGGTATGAATGTAGCCGGACCGTCAATGTTCTTTAATATTTCTCTAATCATTTGCGTCCACAATGATTTATGCAGCGATTCCTCATCCTGTTCGTTGGGCTGCGTATATGCCAGCAATATCTGTATGATTTCCTGCTTGGCTTGTGCTATTTCATGCGCCGCATGACTGGAAGACGGAAAATAATGCAACAGGAAATATGCTTTCATTAGATGATCGATGGCAGTCAAGTCCTTAAATTCCACATCTCGACATTGTATAGCATAAGAAAGCATAGCGCGCAGCACTTGCAAAGCTGGTAATATTATCTGACAGCAATGTAGGCCCTGCAGAGTCACCAGAGCCGGTGTGTGTAGGCCCGGTTGTTCAAAATATGAACATAATTTCTCAAGTATTTGCACAATAGTTTGCACACCATCAGCGGCATAGAACTGCAGCGTCACAAATCTATATTTCAGCTGCTCTGTATTGGAACTGCGGAATGCCTTGCAGGTGGGGCCAATGGCTAGGTGACGCAAGATACGCAAACCCATAATCAAATCGCCAGGAAAAGTGGTTATATACTCCAGCGAACGCGTTATTACCTCATTGAGCGGTGTGATGTTGTCGTATGCGAAAATATTTAAGGATTCCAAAGGTTTCAAGTATACAAACATCTCTTGCAACACAGCCGATACTGAAGGCTCAAAAGTTTCATGATTCTTTGCCAATTCGAGTATGCTGGCGCCGTGCTCAATCAGATAGTCCAACTGCTCGCAGTGGCGCACGCAGCAATCCACCATGTCCACAGCATAACTAAGCACAGGACTTTTGAATTTGGCACCCGGTGAGGCGACTTGTCGTTGCGCTTGTAAATGCTGTTCCTTCTGTATGAGATCCATTAAGAACTGCATATTGTTGTTCATGCCTATCACTTCGACCGTATGTTGTC